AGATGCCACTCACCAAAGTAGGATGCAGAACATTTTCTTAATAAGCTTTGTTATGCCAATTGACCTAGATGTCCCCTGAAAGCAAGGTCCCCGGACCCCTATCCCTGCTACTCTGTCTCTCAATCTTTGTTTAACTTTTTGATGAACCATCAAACTGTTTTCCATAGCGCCTGTAACACTCTGCATTCCCACCAATAATGAATTTTTCCACATCCTTTCCAACATTTGTTACTTTTCTTTTTTAAATCTTAGCCATCCTAGTGGGAGTGAAGTGATTATTCAATTGTGGTTTTGATTTGCATCTCTCTAAAGGTTAATGACTGAGCATTTTTTTCAGGCTTACTGGCAATTTGAATATCCTCTTTGATGAAATGTCTGCTCAAGTTTCTTGTCCATTTTTCAATTGGTTTGTCTTTTTGTAAAGTTGTAGAAGTTTTATAAGTATTTTGGATATTAGACCCTTGTTCGCTATATGTTTCCCAAAGATATACTCCTAATCTGTAGGTTATCTCTTCATTTTTTTTGATAAAGACGCTTGATGAACAAAAGTATTTAATTTTTATGAGGTCCCATTTGCTACAATATCTGACAATTCATTGTTAAAAACTAGGGCCCACAACTATATCCCTATGTTTTCTTCTAAGAATATTATGGTTTTAGTTTTCACATTAGGGTCCTTGATCTATTTTGAATTGGTTTTTGTGTATGGTATGTGGCATGGATCCTGTCTCATTCTTCTGCATGTGGAAATCCAATTTTCCAAGCACCGTTTATTAAAGAGACTCTTCCTTCCCCACTGAATGGACTTAGTATCCCTGTTGAAAATCAGTTGACCATAGATGTATGGTTTTATTTCTGGACTCTCAATTCTATTTCATTGGTCCATGTGTCTACTGGTACACTAGTACCAGATTGTTTTGATTACTGTAGCTACACAGTATGTTTTGAAATTAGGAAAGTGCGAGTCTTATTTTGTTCTTCTTCAAAACTGTTTTGGCTATTCAGTCCACCCCACTTCTTGTTAACTCATTTCTTACTAATATGATGCATTTTGTATAAGCTAGTACAAGCATCTCTCTCACCGTTTATGACAAGTAGTTTACTACTATTTTAAAACATTAGGGGACTATAAGTTTTGTTATCACTAACAAGGAAATGTCTTTGTTAACTAATTCCTGCCAGGAAAAAAAAAAAGGTTACAAATTGTATACTCTGCAACCAAATATATTACTTTTTGTAGGTTGTTCCTAAACTCTTAAATAGTTTATAAATAATGCTCCTACTCAACAAGTTCCTTCATTTCATTGTCTCATTATATATTTGGCAAGTAGTTTATCTTCAAAGATAAACCAGGAAGTCACACTGCTCAAAGCTAGACTGAGTGCTCTGAGCACTCAGTGAAAATATCTGGTTATATATGCTTGAAAATCATCTACTAAATTTACTGCAAACATAACATAAGATACAATAGAACTGTGGGTTAT